CTTAAAGAACTAGAAAGCAAACAAAAGGAAAACCCCAGAGCAAGTAGAAGAAAGGAAATAGTAAAGATCAGAGCAGAAATAAATGACATAGAGACAAAAAAAAAATTCAAAAGATCAATGAAACAAAGAGCTGGTTCTTTGAAAAGATAAACAAGATTGATGGACCCTTAGCTAGACTCACCAAGCTACACAGAGAGAGGACCCAAATTAACAAAATCAGAAATGAAAGAAGAGAAGTAACAACTGACACCACAGAAATACAAAGGATCATTAACATACTATGAACAATTATACACCAACAAATTGGACAATCTAGGCGAAATGGACACATTTCTAGAAACACATAGTCTCCCAAAACTGAACTGGGAAGAGATAGAAACTTGAACAGACCAATAACAGTTAAGGAAATTGAAAATGTAATCAAGAATCTCCCAGTAAACAAAAGCTCATGCCCGAACGGCTTCACGGGGGAGTTTTACCGAACATTCAAAGAAGAACTAACGCCCATTCTCCTCAAACAATTCCAATAAATACAAGAAGAAGGAAGACTTCCAAATTTGTTTCATAGGCCAACAAATTCTAATTCCAAAACCAGAAAAAGACACTTCAAAGAAAGAAAACTACATGCCAATATCCCTGATGAACATAGATGCCAAAATCCTGAACAAAATACTAGCAAATCGGATCCAGCAATACATCAAAAAAATTATTCACCATGACCAAGTGGAATTCATTCCAGGGATGCAAGGCTGGTACAATTTTCACAAATCAATAAATGTGATACACAGGAACAAAATAAAAGATAAAAACCATATGATTATATCAATAGACGCTGAAAAAGCATTTGACAAAATCCAGCACCCAGTTCTAATAAAAATGCTCAGTAATGTAGAAATAGAGGGATATCTTGACATAATAAAGGCCATATATAAAAACCTACCCTCAACATCATACTCAATGGGCAAAAACTAAAAGAATGTCCCTTAATAACGGGAACAAGACAGGGATGCCCACTCTCACCACTCTTATTTAACATAGTACTGGGAGTCTTGGCCACAGCAATTAGACAAGAAGAAAGAATAAAAAGGGCTTCACTATACGATATTTGAAAAAAATGTGATAAAGTGAAGCTGTGAAAGTCGAAGCATGAAGTGGCGAGAGACGACTGTATATAAAGAGTCCTACTTCACGGAAATTCATTTATCACAGTAGAGTCTGAAACTGATTAACTGCAATAAACGAGGGCTGACTGTTTGCAGTTGACGTGATGTTATACATAGAAAACCCTAAATACTCCATCAAAAATCTACTAGATTTAATGAACAAATTTGGCAAGGTAGCAGGATACAGAATTAATGTCAAGAAGTCGACGGCATTCTTATACACCAATAATGAACTCACAGAAAGAGAAACTAAAAAAACAATCTCATTTACCATTGTGGAAAAATTATAGATAACTAGGAATAAACCAAAGAAGTAAAGGACTTACTTGCAGAAAACTACAAGACATTGAAAAAAAAAAATAGAGGAAGATATGAAAAAGCGGAATCATATACCTTGTTCATGCATTGGAAGAATTATCATTAAAACTGTATCCTAAAACAAAAAACAAAACAAAAAAAGCCCTGGCCAGTTTGGCTCAGCGGTTGAGCGTCCGTCTGCGGACCAGAGAGTTCCGGGTTCAGTTCCCGCTAGGGGCATGTACCACCAAAAACAAACAAACAAACAAACAAACAAACAAAAAACTGTATCCTATCCAAACCATTCTATAGATTCAATGCAATCCCCATTAACATACCAATGACATATTTCACAGAACTAGAACAAAAACTTCAAAAGTTTATATGGAACCAAAAAAGACCCCGAATAGCCACAGCAATCTTGAAAAAGAAGGACAAAGGAGAAGGGATCACAATACCGGATATCAGGGTATGCTACAAAGACACTGTAATCAAAACAGCCTGGTTCTGGCACAAATCAGGCATATATAAATCAATGGAACAGAACAGAGAACCTGGAAATGGACCCAAGACATTATGCTCAAATAATATTTGACAAAGGTGGCAAGAGCATACAATGGAGTAAAGACAGTCTCTTTAATAAATGGTGTTGGGAAAATTGGACAGCTACATGCAAAAAAATGAAATTAGACCACAAACTTACACCATACACAAGAATAAACTCAAAATGGATAGAAGACTTAAATTTGACTCGTGAATCCATAAAAACCTAGAAGAAAATGTAGGCAACAAAATTTCAGACATCACACACAGCACAATTTTCACTGATAAAACACCTAAGGCAAGAGAAACAAAAGAAAAAATTAATACATGGGACTACATCAAACTAAAAAGCTTCTTCACAGCAAAAGAAACAACCATCAAAATGAAAAGAGAACCCACTATATGGGAGAGTGTAATTGGCAATGATACATCAGATAAAGGGCTAATTTCCAAAATATAGAGTACCTAAACAACTCAACAAAAGGTAGACAAAGAACCCAATTAAGAACTGGGCAGAGGACCTAAATAGACACCTCTCCAAACAGGACATACAAATGGCCAAGAGACATATGAAGAAATTTTCGCTCAATGTCACTAATCATCAGAGAGATGCAAATTAAAACGACTATGAGGTATCACCTCGCACCTGCCAGAATGGCTGCCATCAACAAAGCATCAATCAACAAGTGTTGGCGAGGGTGTGGAGAAAAGGGGACTCTAGTACACTGCTGGTGGGAATGCAGACTGGTGCAGCCACTGTGGAAAACAATATGGTGTTTCTTCAAAACATTAAAAATGGAACTGCCATTTGACCCAGTGATCACACTTCTAGGAATATACCCTAAGGAGCCTAAAACACCAATCAGAAAGAATATATGTACCCCCATGTTCATAGTAGCACTATTTACAATAGCTCAGGTCTGGAAACAGCCCAAGTCCCATCAATAGATGAGTGGATAAAAAAGCTGTAGTACAGCCCTGGCCGGTTTGGCTCAGCGGTTAGAGCGTCAGCCTTAGGACTAGAGAGGCCCAGGTTCGGTTCGCACTAAGGGCACGTACCTTGGTTGCAGTTTTTCCCCAGCCCCACTTGTGGTCATGTGGGTGGCAACCAGTTGACGTGTCTTTCTCACATCAATGTTTCTCTCTCTCTTCCTCCCTCTCTCCCTCCCGCTCTGAAGATAAATGAAAAAAAAACAAAAAAAAACAAAAAAAAAGCTGTAGTACATGTACACAATGGAACACTATGAAGCTGTAAGAAAGAGAGATCTCTTATTCTTTGAGATGACATGGAGGGACCTGGAGAGTATTATGCTAAGTGAAATAAGCCAATCAGAGAAAGACAAATACCACATCATCTCACTTATTTGTGGAATATAATGAACAGAAAAAGCTGATGAACAAAACAGACCCAGAGACATAGAAAGGAGCATGGTTTATACTGACAAACCTCAGCGGAGGGGGGATGAGGGGAGGGATGAGATAAACCAAAGAACTTATATGCATGTATGTGTAACCAATGGACATAGACAACAGTGCTTGGCGGGGGGGGGGGGTAGAATGGGGAGGAGGGTGTCTGTGGAGGGAAAAGGAGAAACATCTGTAACAAGAATAAAATAATTAATTTTAAAAATAAAAATAAAAAAATAAAAACATACCCTCAGGTGAGGATTAATATACATATTTCCCATGACAGGCACATGGTAAGTATTCCGGGCATCCCACCTGCGCTAAAAGTTTGTCTTTTGTCTCTGATTCTTATTATTTATAACACAACTGAAGAATACCAGTAAAAGCAAAGAAAATGTTTTTATTCTTTGATATATAAAACCAAGAAAACTTTAACATGTAATACAATATTGTTTGCTTCTTTAGGAAAATGGCAGAAGTATAGACCTGAGTAGAAAAATACACTCACGAAGTGATGACAAGCAGTTCGTAACTCCTAAAAATTCTGAATAGCATACAAATCTGAGTAAAGCCTCTTTTTTTTCCTTTAAAAAAATTATTCACATTTGCTTAACAACTTAAAACACGGTAAGAAATATAATTTTCTTTCTTGATAACACACCCAGTTATTCAACAAGATACTCTTGAACCAACAATAACTTAGTAAAAGAACTTCTCCTTGGTGGCACTATGTAAGCATTAGAGCACTGATTCTCTAGTACTCGTCATAGTAAAACAAGATTTCCGAATGCTGGGGCACCAGCCAGATGCTCGTGCAGCTCACTGAGCTCATAATTCTAAAACGTGTGCACTCTCACTAGGGCCTCAAAGGGGGAGTGTCTTTGGTCTTCCCTGTGGGGGGGGGGGGGGTGGGAAATGGAGAGAGAAACTGACATTCGAATGAAAAAATCAAACATAGGTGCAGGGAACAATCACTCATTAAAATCTATTTCTGAACAATAAATACTTTCTGCACAGAAGAAAAATAATTTGCTTTTCAATTAACAAATTCAGGAAAAATGAAAACAATGAGATACAGTTTTCCGTTATCAGCCTGACATCCATGAAGTCTGAACAGTTATGCCACTGACCAGCAGGGGGTGCTGGGCCACAGAAGAAGCTACATTGAAGGGCCACCTAAAAAAATATTTTTACCTATATTTACACAAAAGCTTTATTTGGTCAAAGTTTAGTTCTCAAAATATAACTAATATTTTTCTCTTCAACTTTGGATTCAAACAGAATATACCCTTCATATAAAATTTCACTGTTATAAACATGAATAAACATTCAGAATTACTAAATATGAAAATACTGCCAGAAGATCAAAGGGAAGTGACAATGAATTTAATCTGTTAAAAATCATTGTTTCAAATGACTTGTTATTTAAAAATGAAGATAACAGACTTATATGTCCAAATGTCTGTGAGCTTTCAAAGCCCTCTCTGGAGGTGTAGTGGGGCTGCCCATCATTTCTGTGGAAACATTTCAAAAATTGGGCTCAGAATCAATGAAGCCATGAAAAACACTGTTTTTTCTTATTTGTTTTGTTTTGTTTTGTTTTTTAAATCTCTGAGTAAATACTGTCTTTCGATCACAAATGGTATCACTGAGCAGAGCTGGCTGCTTCCCGGCCAGCCTGGGGGCAATCCCATGTCCAGACAACCCACCTTCGGAGAACTCTTCCCAGTGATGTCTGGGAGTTCAGCACCCGTTTGGCTATTTGAAATGGGACTATAAACAATGACCATTTGAAATGTGTCTTCTGCAGTCATACCTATCATAGGCGTGTGTGCATCTGTTCTCAAAAACCAGTGTCCACCTTCTTACATACACCTTCAGTGCCCAGCCCACCAGAACCACACGCGCGATGCACGGAGGACACGGTGCCAACAAGTAGGTGTGTTTGAATGGCTTAAGTTAAAAACATGAATTTGTCCCTTTAAAAAATAAATTTAAAGCTTCGTTTTAAAAAAATAAAGTATTTTTAAAATTTAAAAATGAAGTATTTTCTACCCTTGGTCAGAAAACACTTGACAAAGGCCCTGGACCGGCTTCCAGCCTGGTGCACTAGTGTGTGCACTTTCCGTTGGTGGAGAAATTTACAAAAACAGACAGGATTTTTATTTTTCGTCCACAAGTTGAAACAGAGTAGGTCTGTGGAAGAAAAGGAAGGGATAAATAAAAACACAGAAGGAGGGGTGACATACACAATTACTGTCTTATTTTAAAACGAGAGCACAGACTTGAAAGTGGAGGGGCCGGTCCTGGCGGCCGGACTGTGACCAGGGCGCTCGGGCAGGAGGGGGCGCTACGGGGCGGTGCCCGCGCTACAGGGTGACGGCCGGGCCGTGCTCCTCCACCCCGCCGGGAGGCAGCGCCAGGCTGTGGCGGGGGTCGGACCGCAGCGAGCTGAGCAGCCTGAGGACGCTGCCCTCGCGCCCCGGGCCATGCAGTCCGGACGCCAGGCCCGCGCCATTGACCCGGGCGAGGCTGCCAGGCGTTGGCCGCGGGACCAGCCGGGACTCCAGGACACCCTCGAGCACGACGTCGGGCTCCTCGTCGCTCTCCATGTCGTCGGGGTGCAGGCTGTGCGGGGCGTGGGCCTGCAGGCTGTGGCGGCTGGCCGTGCTGTCCGAGGAGCGGCCGGAGCTGCCGGACGCGCGGCCGCCACGCAGCACGTTGTTCCGCTGGTTGGCCGGCTTGACCGTGACGATGAGATTGTGGCTGTTGGCGATCATCATGTCCGTGACCTGGTCCAGCGTCTTCCCCGCCACCTCGATGCCGTTCACCTCCAGCACCTCGTCGTCCACGGCCAGCAGCCCGGTGCTCTCGGCCAGGCCGCCGGGCACCATGCGCGAGATGAAGATGCCCGGCACCTTCTCCAGGCCCTGGGGCGCCACCCGCACGCTCGTGCCGTCGCGGATGTAGAAGCCCAGCGGCTTCTGGCAGCCGTGCCGGTACAGCCTCACGCGCCGGTGCGTCTCGGGCAGGATGTCCACGTCGATGATGGAGGACACGGGGCGGAAGTCGTGCGGGAGCCCGATGTGCAGGTGCGCGCGGCGCCTGGGCCCCTCCTCGCGCAGCGCCAGCGCCTTCCTGCGCCGCGACAGCGAGCCGGTGGCCAGGCCGTGCTCCGCCTCCTCTGGAAGAGAAGAGGCGACAGTCAGGGCAGAGGACACACAGCGACGCCGGCAGCCGGACTGCGCCCCATACGCTCGGCTTCCTGCTGCTCACCTTTCGGCCGCTTCTCCGACTCGCCAGGGGCCCCGGGGGAGGTCGGAGGAGGGGGCACCACTAACCCCACACAAGTCTCACACCAGCGCCTGAGGGTGGAGCTGGCAGGTCGTCTCCTCGCAGGGCCCGTTGTGGGAAGCGCCCCGCAGCCCCAGGACGACAGCGCGCCGCCACCCTGCATCGGCTGCGCTGCCCAGAGTGTTTACCAGGCAGCAGCCTCCCCACAACTAACTGCAAGTCTCCAAACTGACCCACGCAACTGATAAATGATGGGAAGGCTACGAGGCAGTGACGAGGCAATAAAGAGAACTGACGATCGGCGGAAGGGTGAGGAGCACCTGTCTGGACCCTGGGACGATGGTGACGAGGAAGCACCAGGTATTTCTCCAAAGCAGGACAACTGCGGGGGCTAATCTGTCTGATGTCACCACTGGGAACTCTGGGGTCTGTACTGAAGGTCTGCAGCCTCCAGAAGAAGGGCTGGGCAGTAACGACGGTCACTCTGATAAGCCCCCTCCGCTAGCACAGGAGCGCGCACCCCACCTGGTGCCCCGCAGGCCGCGCGCACACAGACTGTGGGCGCAAAGCCTGTGCTCCAAGGGCCCGGGGTGGTGCTGCCTCTGCTTAACTGGATGAGCAACCAGGAGGACAGTCAGTGCTGCGCCCCCTCCCCCCGGGCAGGGAGCAGGCCCCTCCCCCACCAGCTCCAATGACTTCTGGGGGATTTAAAGGGGGCTGCTGGGGAGGCAGACACTGAAGACCAGGCTGAAACAACTACAGCCCTGGCAGGGGGCCTGGTTGGTAAGGGCGTGGTCCAGCGTCCGAAGGCAGACGGGTGATTCCCGGTCAGGGCTCATACCCAGGCTGCAGGTTCCGTCCCTGGTTGGGGTGCATATAGGAGGCAGAAAAAAACAACTGCACATCGAGGAAAACTAGAAAGTGACAACACATCCCCAGGCAATGGCTCAGAAAAGACCGAGGACACACTACGGTTCCCCTCAGGCTGGTCCTAGAGACCAAGGAGCCTCCAAAACTTTTTAAAAAAATGATAGAAAAACAGCAAACCATGGGGAAGGGGTAGAATCTGATTTCCAGAGTTAAGTAATTAGATCCAAACGTCCAGTGTTCAATACAAACATTTCTTATATGCAAAAATCAAAATAAACACAAGATAGTCGAAGCAACAGGACGGTGTATCCCCTTCAACCCCCCAATCAACCCCCACAAAAGAAACTCAGAACTTGTCTCTGAAAAGACAGGACAAGAAAGCAATGTGGGGACAAAGCAGAAGTAACACTAAGTGATAAAAAAGAAAACGTAAGAGGAAATCAAATAGAAAATCTGAAGCTGGCTGTCGCGGTTTTTCTCAGTGGTTAGTGTTGGCCACAGACCAGAGTCTCAGGTTCGATTCTGGTCAGGAGCACAGACCAGAGTACCTGGGTTGAGGTTCAGTCCAGACTCTGGTCAGGGTCGGGGGGGGGGGGGGCAGTCAGTGTGCGTCTCTCACAATGATGTTTCTCTTTCTCTCTCTCCCCCCCCCCACTTCCTTCCTCCCTCCCTCCCACTCTATCTGATGAAAAATAGAAAAAAATATCCTGAGGTGAGGATTTTAAAAAAAAGAAAATATGAAGCTGAAAGACACAATATCTGAAATGAAAATTCACTAGGGGTCTTCAAAGACACTCTGAACAAGAAAAAGAAGGAATCGATGAACTTAAGATAGGAACATGTAAATTACTGTTGCTGAGAAAACAAAGGAGAAAATACAGAAGTGAACGAATGCACAGCCTCAGGAACCCAAGGGACACCAGAGGCGCTGTCCACAGCGGAGAAGGAACCCTCACAGCCCAGCCGCAGCTGCCCCCGGGTCTGCCCCCAACTTCTCACCCTCAGGTCTCTGCCTGTTAACACAGGAAAAAATAACCCTGCACAGCACTTAAGAAACCTTTAGCCCCCAAAACACCGTTTGCAAAGATAACAAGAAAACAGTTATTATGAGCACTAGATTGAGGACTATCAGACTGAAAATTGAAAACATTATTTAGAATTGGCATCACTATGTTATGTTATCTGCTCCGATAGAAATGCCTTCTACGTATAATTGTTCCCCTTCCATTCTCAGGAATACGCCTTTGTCTCCTAAACGGAACACTATTTGGGCTTCTGCTTGAAATTAGTGCTTCCTGAACAGCTAGCTATTCTTATTGATCTCAGATAAACACTTTGCTTCTCATTTTGAAAGGCCTTTAATTTCTGGTTAACAAAACGATTATGTACATCATATGAGTTCCAAGAAAGAGGTGGAGAAAATACTTGGAGAAATAATGCCAGAAACTCCCCAAATTTGATGAAATGCATGAATATAAATATCTAAGAATCTCAATGAAATCTAATTAACATGAAGTCAAAGAAACCCAAACCAAGACAAATTATAATCAAAAATTTTTTTTAAAGTAACCTTACAAGCAGCAAGAGGGAAGAGAGTCATCCACACCAGGAAGATTATCTTCAGGGGCAGATACAGTCTACGTGCTAAAAGAAAAAGACTGTTAACCAAGAATCTCATATCCATCAAAACTGAGTGAGAGATCAAGATGTTGCCAGATAAACGAAGGCTGAGGAGACTGAGCTCCGGCCCGGCAAGAAGCGCTCAGGGAGCCCTGGCCGGTGAGGCCCGGCTGGCGTGGTGCCGTCCGGGCACCTGGGGGTCGCCTGGTGGATTCCCAGTCAGGGCACATGTCTGGGTTGCAGCCTCAATCCCCAGCAGGAGGCAGTCGATCAATTTTATACTCTCACATCGATATTTCTCTCTTTCTCCCTCTCCCTTCCTCTCTCTCTAAAAATCCATTTGAAAAATTAATAAATGTTCAAGGGAGTCCTGTAGATAAAATGAAAGGACACTAGACAGGAACTTAAAGCTGACTCAGGAAATAAAGATCTCAATAAAGGTAAATACATGTGCAGTTAAGTTAGAAATCAATAACACAAAAATGGAAAATTATAAAAAACGTGGAACCCAAACACCACACTTTGTTAACAATGTATCAAAGACATCACAGGGCAAGAGGACTCATGACACAGTCACCGGCACACGTGTGGCCGTCTGTGCTTCGGTTCACTCGGCTCCCAGTGCTGACGCCTGGCAGTGTGTGCTCCTGGCCAGCACACAGCCGTGCTCAGCACCTGCCCACCAGCTCCTGCGGGTGTCAGGCCCTGTGACCCGCGTGACACAGCGATGACCTACAGAACGTCTGTCCTGCGGAAACCATGAAGCGAGCGGGAGAGAGACACAGACTTAATTTTAAATGAAACTGTTTGGAGAACACTGTGAGAAAGAGCATGTTCTGGACTTGATGTGAACAGTGAGGGTCGGGCATCCTGCCTTGGGTCCGCGGGAACTCACCTCCCACCAGCTATAAGGAGGAAGCAAAAGGAAATATAGAGGCCAGTTCATAGTAACCGGACAGACAGACCCACACAAACATTAATGAAAAGAAAGCAAGAGATGCTCCGCTGACGTCAGATAAATGAGACTTCAGGCAAAGCAGCCGAGGGAACAGGGACAGGGAGGGGCACCAAGGACAAGACTCTGACCTGCCGCATGATGAGCACTGCAAGCAAAATGAACAAACTAGAAAGACAAGCAAAGCCCTGGAGGAGAAACAGACCCGCAGTTACAGTCTGAGATGCCACCCAGCCGGTGTGGCTCAGTGGTGGGGCGTCAACCCTGCACCAAGAGGTCGCCGGTTCGATTCCTGGTCAGGGCACATGCCCAGGTTGTGGGAAAAATCCCCATGGAGGGTACGCAGGAGGTGGCCCATCGATGTTCTCTCTCATCGATCTTTCTCTCTCTCTCCCTTTCCCTTCCTCTCTCTCTAAAGTCAATAAAGAAAAACTATTTTTTTAAAAAGTTGGAGATGCTGCCCCTCCTCTCAACAATTCATAGAACAAGTTTGCAGAGGATCAGCAGCCCAACAGGACCGTTGCCAACAGGACCCACGGAAACACTGGAACAGGCACCCGCGGCCGTGCAGCATGGCCGGGAACCCACACGCGGGGCCACGCACAGCTCCACAAACCCTGCGAACTGAGATCACCCCAAGTGTGCTCGTGAACCGTGAGGTCGAACTGGACATCAGCACAGACAGACCGCAGGGACCTGCAGGCACTCGGGAATGACCAGCACACCGGGACGTCATCTGTGGGTCAGGAAGGGAGGCTCCGAGGAGACACCACACGGCCCAGGTGGACACATGGGGGCCGAGCAGGGGAAGGTCAAGGCAGTAACCTAGGCCCCGACCTCGGAAACCTAGAAAAAGGGCAAAGTAAGCCCAAGAGAGAGAGGAAGGAAACTAAGGATAAACAGTGATTCAGTGAAACGGAAAACAAAAGACCAGAAAAAAATCAACGCAGCGAACAGCTGGGTCTTCGTGCTGCAGCCAGAAGGGCCAGAGGCAGGGTCCTGGCCGGGTCCCATCTCTGGCGCCTGTGCCCAGCTCTGCGGGCTGCGCTCCATCTGCCCACACGCTAAGCACGGACCCAAACCACTGGTCCCGCCTGGAATCCAGATCCTTCAACTTCAGGGAGTTTCCTCCATGATCTAACAGGCAAGAGCTCAGACCCTTCGGTCCAGTGCTCTCTGGGGTCCACCCTTCACTACTCTCAGCAGTTGTATCCGCAGCAGAGCTCACCATCGGGCCCTGGGCCTCCTCGGACCCATGGGGAGGACGGTGGCAGGAGCCTGTGTGCCCGTCTGACTGCCACCCACGTGCCCAGCCAACCTCACCTTTTAAAACACGCTTGTCGTAAACGGTGTTGAACTGCTAACGTCTAGGGGTTGTCGGGAAGCACTGTCGTTTATCATTTCCACTCATTCCTGAGTGACAGCCACCACCGTGTCCCCATCTG